TTCCTCGCTTTTAAATAGCTTGTAAAAGTGGTGTGCTCATTTTACTTTCACTTTAAAATAGCGGCAATTCGGAGTAAAGCAACGCGTTCAGTTTTTAATTGTAGTGTCTGTTCTTTTACTGAAGTAAATGATTTTTATTACAATAAAAAATCAAAATGACGGTGGGGGTCGGTGCCACAGTGGGCAAGTGACGTAACCGGTGTTGCGGCTTAACAACGGTATCACCGTCAGCACCGTCTATCGCGGCAAGCCTACTGCCTAACATCTCCTTTTGTAAGTCATATGAATAAGAAACTAAATAAAGGTAAGTGATAAGATGGCTCATTTTTGTATAAACTATTTTATTCACAACATAATCTCTCTTAAAATACAGTATAGGGTTATGATAATCAAAACAGTCCTGAGCTAGATCAAGCTTTTATCTCTGTAAATCAAACTATCACTTTAATCAAAAAAATGTTTTCCCACTAATAAAAAGATTTTATCTTTAGCTAGCTTCACACTGGAGAGCTGCTTTAGAACAGAAAATCAGGTTGTAATTCTAACTGAAAGCGACACTGACTCTGGTTTTTCATGTTTAATACTGTAAAGATGTTTGATTCAAGGCAATCTATTGCATAAAGTACTATATAAATAAACGTGACATGACTGGACTTTACTGGAGTATCGAACTGCACAGCTCGTGCAAACATCCACATGGCTGTAATCAGATGCTTTCTTAACTGCTGCTTTCTCACTGCTGTCAGTTTTTGTTGTGTTTATTTCGTTACCGAGAGGAAAGCGCGCAGCATATATTGACATATTCATCCAAATGCAGCTCAGCAGCTTCAAGTTCGGCTGTGTTTGCACTGTCTTCTCTTGAATTGCATCCGGGAGCGCTGAATTACAGTCTTGCGCTACAGCGCCACACTGGTCAAACCGCATTACTGCCGGCTCTTACATTAGAGATGTTTGATTCAAGGCAATCTATTGCATAAAGTACTATATAAATAAACGTGACATGACTGGACTTTACTGGAGTATCGAACTGCACAGCTCGTGCAAACATCCACATGGCTGTAATCAGATGCTTTCTTAACTGCTGCTTTCTCACTGCTGTCAGTTTTTGTTGTGTTTATTTCGTTACCGAGAGGAAAGCGCGCAGCATATATTGACATATTCATCCAAATGCAGCTCAGCAGCTTCAAGTTCGGCTGTGTTTGCACTGTCTTCTCTTGAATTGCATCCGGGAGCGCTGAATTACAGTCTTGCGCTACAGCGCCACACTGGTCAAACCGCATTACTGCAGGCTCTTACATTAGGTCAGGGGTGCCCAAATTCGGTCCTGGAGGTCCGGTGTCCTGCAGAGTTTTGCTCCAACCCTAATCAGACACACCTGAACCAACTAATCAAGCTCTTACTAGACATACTAGACACTTTGTGGCAGATGTGTTGAGGCAAGTTGGATCTAAACTCTGCAGGACACTGGCCCTCCAGGACTGAGTTTGGGCACCCCTGCATTAGGTCATATGAGATCAAACGACTACTCGACAACAAAAATATTTGTCGACAATTTTTTATTGTCGACAATGTCGACTAATCGTTTCAGTCCTACTTCGGTGAAAAGGTTCATCTCCTGTTGTCCTCTCACATCTAAATCCACCAACATATTTGTTTAGAACGTTTCGGACTGCTTTCACTTGTAAACAGTGCTTCATCTGTGTATATTTCTCTCTTGATTCAGATGAGAGGACTTGTTTGCCTTGAAGCAACAGTTTAAAGGTAAAAACATCTTGCCATTTGTTTCTTACAGGCAGCTTTTCGGTTCACAACACATTAATTGATGGACAGGAGTTGTGTGGATTATTGGGATATTTTTAGCAGCTGTTTGGACTCATTTTGACGGCACCCATTTACTGCTGAAGATCCATTGGTGAGCAAGTAATGTAAAGGCCAGGACACACCAAGCCGACGGTCGGCCATTGGCCAGCATAGGGCCATCTGCGAGCTAGTTTTTTTAGTGTGCTCCACACGTCGGCTCTCATCTGGCTCACGTCGGTGGAAGTTTGCCCAATTCAACAGGTTCATAAACATTTTGGGCATCACAGATGTGTCTCATACAGGGTGCTTCACACCTTTTGACCAATGATTTTCCATGCCAAGGACATTTTACACACTGCATTCACAAAGACCAATTTCTAACCTATGAAATATTTTAGAGCTCCCGTTGCCTATAGTCTATATTTTTGGGCACCACAGACATGTTTCAAATGTGTCTACGATGCCTAATAGCGCTGGCTAGATAGTTAGCCCACTAGGTTTTTTAAATTAAGCTTTTGGATCAGAGCCTCCATTGATTAACCCATCAAACCAGTTCACCACCATGCATAATGATACTACTGATTTATGTTTTTAAATATAAAGGTTTTCCAGAAATTAAACCTTTAACCCTTATATAAAGCAAATGTACTTTGATAAATAACTTAAAAATCCTTTTTCATTTTTTTAAATTGACTATCCACCAATGAGCTTAACACATCAACTGCAGCCTCTTAAAAAAAACACATACTATCCAAACAGAGTGTTCAATATTGTAAAGCCTTTATGGAGGTTTCTACGGATTTAGGATGGAATAAGACGTTAAATATAGAAATAAGGACCAAACTCAGACATGGAGCTCAAACCTCCATTCAGATCAGTATGTAGAGCATCAGTGAAGACCTAAACTAACAGCTTGTCTAAATTGTACACACTCGTAACCACTCAGCTAGTTTATTTTCAAATACATCTACACTTTAGCACATTCACGACAACATTTAAGTGTTAAACAATTAAAACCCCATCAAATCATCGAGTTTATCTTATATATCATTAGCATATCATCACGTTAGCCACAGCCATGCTAACGTTCCATCATCTACAATAAACACATTTCCAAAGACACAAGAGGGCATTACTCACAATATGAAACCCCCTCATCTCCCTTAAAAAGATTTAAGGATCGTGTATATGTTAAAAGTTGGTGGTTAAAGACACAAAGTATTAATATAAAGGGCGGTTTGTATTACCTCTCAGCTCTGTGTTAATATGGCGGCGAAGTTAGCGCGAGGAGACGCGACGCTCTTCCAGGCCTGCAGGGGGCGCGCAGCAGCGGCGCTCTCACAGACACTGGCTTCCGCTCAAAGAGCAAATGTAAGACGCTAGGTTTTCTGGTCATCTCACTCTGATTAATTTACTTATTTTTTATATTTCACGTCCAAAAATACACGTTTACTAATAAAAACCCAACTTTATGTTTTTTTTTGTTGTTGTTGTTGTTGTTGTTGAAGTAAGTCTGTACATTATTCCTGCAAAGTATTTATTGCTATTTATTCTAGTCTTTATTTTATTTCTAGCATATATTTCTATACCTGATTCCATTATTTTAATTGTTATATTATTACTATTATTATAGTACCTTCCTGGTACTTTTATTTATTTAATTTTTGTAGTTTTTTCTTCTACTTGATTTCTATTTGCATTTGAACGAAAGTGCATATAGGCCTATAATGTAAAATATCAAGTTTATTAAATTATTAATAATAATAATATAATAATAAATAAATAAATTCTCTGCACAGGCAATACAGCCTACATGGATACTGTCCTCAGAATCAGATGGGATTTTTAGCGATCTGCGGTTGTGGATGCTTTTCATAACTTTTCTTTCTTTCTGTAATTAAGAATGAACATACATGCATAAAGATTATTACATGATCCAGAAGCCCCTAAAGCTATGAAAACTTGACTTTTATGGTCAGTCCTTGAAGTTCAAAGCTTTAAACCCCTTCAAACATTTTGGTCTCACCTGGTCTTGTTATTTTTGTATTATTGAATAAGTTAATTGTAATTAGATGTCACTGTTTTATGTAATCAATTCAACATTTTGTATTTTATGATTCCCTATGGTCAAGAAAAAACACGATATAATACATTCTGATTGATCATTTATATTAATAACCCCACTGACAGGAGGGTGAATATATCAGAATGGCATGTTGCTTCAGCCAATCATAAGTTCCATTAAGCATCATGTGACTTAATAAGGAATGTATGGTATTCAAAGAAGATCGTTTCTCTCTTTAAATTGTCTTTGTTGGCATCATCCTCTCCAGCTTTAATTAAAATGACAGAATTGGGACAGAGCAGAACATGGGCAATATTAGCAGGCTATGAATGCCTCACTGACAACTTAATGGATAACTGTCAAGAAAACTGGTGTTATGGGCTAATTTACCTGATGACAGCAAACTCATTTGCACATATTTAACAATTCGTAATCTGAGGTAATGGACACTTGGACTCAACAGGCAAGTGCTGTAAAAATCTTAATTGATTCTGAAATAGGATTTGACTTCATCTGGATGAAAAAATCACCAGCTCTTAGCATATCACAGTGAGATTTTTAAGATTATTCATTGTTTATTCATCATTCATCTTGTTTAGTCTATTATCAACTTAAAGCAAACGCAACATGTTGTTGCTTTTAATCACACAGTTATATGATTTGATTTAGAAAATTGCTAAAATATTCATTAGGAAATCTTTGTAGTATAATATAAGTGAAACGAGCTAAAATGCTGAGTAATTATCCACAGATTCTTCTTCCCACATCACGGGCCTCAGACAGGTCTCATGTGACTCTGTCTATATTAAAAAGCTATTCAATCCCATCAGCCTCTGAATAAATCCTGTCTGGTATGTGCTGGTTAAAGAGTGTCATTTTTTATGATGATGGAAGGCAATGGAAACTGCTTTGAAATTATGACAGTTCATTTACCAAGCTGGCAGAGAGTACAAGCAGGAGAGACTGCTTACCAACCAAATACACAAACCCTGGGTTTAGCTTTCACGTTTTGATGATAGACGCAAATGGTGATTCTAGCAAGGTCACAACTTCAAATCATGTTTATGATGTTTTATGTTCATAGGCTGTTAAAGATAAATGGCAACTTGTGTTGACACATTTCCATCTGAAACAGGAAGTAGGGGCGGGGGATATCAAAGTTTAATAGCCAATAGGTTTATGTCAGAGCATGAACCATCGGTGCCATTAGCAAGTAGCTCAAATGAAAAATAATATTAAAATGTATTGAACAAAAAATGCTAAATTCAAAACAAAGCAAAGATGAAGTGCATAACTTTCTTTTTTAATGAAATTAACGTATGTTTTAGTTCAATAATATTTTTCTTTAATATTTTGTATTTTGAGGAGATTTCTTGGTACTAAATATTCATCTCTAAATTATGCACAATTAGTTTCAATATATAATAAAATGTGTATAAAATCAGATTTGTAGATAGTAACACAATAAATTGTTCTGTATATTTTTGTATTTTTCTTAATGGCCATTCATTTTATGTAGGGGTAATTTTTGATGACCACAAGTGACTTTTAAAAAAAAAATTGTAGTTATTTATTTAATATGTTGTGTTTTGAGTAGATTTCATGATTTGTGAGCCATGTCCAATTTTTGTGTGTCTGTGTTCACAGATGCCACAAAAGTCAAAGAACTAAAATAAATAAATAAATTATAGTCTAAAATGAGCAAAGAAAGTTTAAAAGCTGAATAATATCCTTAAAGACCAAATTAAAGACCATAACCAACCATGTTACCAAGTCTCTGCCACAAGACAAAAAAAAAAAAAAAATCAGAATTGCGTGATATAAACTCAGAATTGCGATGTATAAACTTTTCAATTGTTTTTTCTCCCACCACAACATTAAAAAAAGGTTGCAACTTTTTCATCTCACGAGTTTATATCTCACAATTGCAAGAAAAAGTATGAAGTCTAAATTGTGACAGAAACTTGTAATTACACTTTCATTTTTTTATCCCGTGCGGAAACAAGCTTATAGTTTACAGACATAACTATTTAAAAAAAGAAGAAGAAAAAGGAATGATTTTACCACAGAATAAAAAAGACAAGTTTTAATTAAAATGTTTAGCTTATTGATGGCTTTTCTCTGTAAATCGTGACTCGTACCACAACAAACAGAGGTTTCTACGATCAAGCTGGTCCTGATAGTCTTGTAACTCGAGCGAGCTTGTGCTCCCTAATGTAAAGTTCTGCGGAGAGTTTCTTTCTTTCCGTCAAGCATGAGAGTACGTTCTGTACCTCACGATGCTAGCAATTTCCTTTCTGCCTCCATGTTTAAAAGGAAAATCCAGGGGTCCCGTGTGCCCTTGGGCCTTTTTCACATACACATGTAAATCTGACCTTACCAGCTTTCAAAGACTTCCCTCACGAGTGTGTTTCTTGAAAAGACAGCTAAGCGGCCATAATGTGGCCTAGTGAGGGATCCTCAACGGTTAATTATCCATTTACGCTTTTAAAGAGAAAAATCCTTTTAGCGTGCACACAGAGGACTTCTTTGATAGTAGGCAGTGCTGCTCCTAAATACCAGAGTGGAGGACACGTCAAATGTAACTCTATTACACAGGACCACTTTCTCCCATTATCAAAACTCTAACCCCTGTTCTGCTCCACAGCGGCCCATTCCATTTTACCACAGGCGCCCATAGAAATCCAGGAAAGGTAAAACCCAGATGGGTAAACTTCCTGTCTTGTCTAGCGATGGCCCATTCATTTCCATTGGCAGTAGTTCCGTCTGATAAAAGGGAAAAATAGCCAACAGATCGAATGTCCACGGACGGATGAGTCTGTGCTTGGGACGTTCAAGGGATTTAGTCTTAGCTGCGTGAGCTAGTCAAATCGGCCTTCCCCTCATTTTAAGCTGAGTACACGACTTTTGCACAGATTTGTGCCCCGATTTGCTAGTTGACAGTCGAAGTTGATTGATTTCGCAGAAACCCATGTAGTGTATGATGGCCATTTTAAGCCGCTTTTCGTCTAGCTCCTTCATTTGCATACGATTGTCGCATTTCACCCCCTAGTGGCAGTCACACAGAATGTCACGAATTTCACATCATACACTCTAAAAAATGCTGGGTTAAATATCGTGACATGTAATAAAAGTATCTTTTCCATGTTAATCAGAGGTTTGCATCCTAACCATCCAGCGATATTTGTGGAGGCCCATTTCTGCCACAGCATAAAAAAAATTTAAAAAAAGTTAATTATGACTTTTTAATCGTACAATTCTCAGGAAAAGTCAGTTAATTGTGACTTTTCATTACACAATTGCAAGTTTATCTCTCACAATTCTGATATTTTTTCTCAGAATTGCAAGTTTATATCAAGTGTTAGGGAGTAACTAGTAACATGTAAATAAACAAAATAAATGTAACTGTAATCTGTTATAATTACTGAGAAAAATGTGTAATTAAATTAGTTACTTATGAAAATGTTAACGATTACAAAAGGGGGTTACATCGGAATTGTATTAATATTTACTAATTCTTATTATCATTTTAAATCAAATCAAAGTAAAAGGAGGTGCTAAAGTCTTATTTTGAAGTGATTGTACTTTATAGTTATTATAATCTTAATTCAAGAGATGAAGGATTTTGAAAGTCTGTCAGTAATCAGTATTTAGTACTAGTGTAATGTTAACCCTGCCTGATATAAATGTTTGAAAATGATTTAACAGTTGAAAACATTTGTTAGAAATTTAGAAAAGTAATCAAATGTAATCAGTTACATTACTTTAATAAAGTAATTGTTACACTACTTATTACATTTTAAATAGGGTAATTTGTAATCTGTAACCTATTACATTTCCAAAGTAACCTTCCCAACACTCTTTATATCTCACAATTATGACTTCTTTTCTCAGATTTGCAAGAAAAAAGTCTGAATTGAGATAAAAACGCAGAATTGTGAGATATAAAGTCAGAATTATGAGAGATAAAGTCTGAATTGTGAGACATAAACTCAATTCTGTGAAAAAAAAATTATTTTGAGATAAAGTGTAATTGCAATTATCTTTTTAATGTTTTTATCCCATGGTGGAAACAAGCTTGTATGATGCCTAGTGTTTTAAAGTCTGTTCCAATTTTAAACGTCATTTAAAGTATTCCAGCTTTAATAACATGTGATTGTTGCTATGCGATATTATTCAGTAATTAGAATAATTTTGGAAATTATCTCAAACTGACCCAAAAAAGTGGTCCCTTTGTTACATCTCGAATCTTTTTCTATGTAACAATTTAAAAGGTTAGCAAGTGTGCGATGCCTATAGTGTTTTAAAATCTGTTCCGATTTTAAAAGCTGTGTATTCCAGCCTTAATAACGTGCGATCATTACTATGCAATAGGCCTACCGTCCAGTAACTAGAATAGTTTTGGAAACGGATCTCGAAATGATCCAAAAAAGCAGTTCTTGTCATCACGGAGTCCCTTTGTTACATCATACGCCTCCAATCCCAACTCTTTCCGAGTCTAAACCTGACCTTGGCGTAGATTTCCAACCTTTCAGGGTAAATTCCCGACCTTTTGGTAACATTTCTGGAACTCACTGTACGACAGGCCATGCGTTCAGCCCAGGATGTTACCCGACACTGTCTTTCTCTCAAAATTAATCTTGAGGAAAGCTAGAGGGAAAAAAAGTGGAATTTCCTGAACACAGATCCCAGAGACTTTCCCGCAGCAGTGAGCACTAATACCTCCATCAGCAGCAACCTTATCGCTGGCATCTTGACAACAAGAGGCCAAAAAAACAAGCACCATTTCCCCAACACCAACCTTTTAAAGAGGAAAAATTCTATTTATGTCCTGCCAGCTCACTACTGATTTACAGTGCAATTAGGTTTGCATTTCTCCCCAAATACTGGCCTCGGTGATCCAGGGAATCCCCACCATTGAGCGCCTTTCACCACGACACGCTCGTCTGATCGGCAGATCACGCGGGGCAGTTATGATGACCTTGCTATTGTGCATTACCTAAACCCTCCACTTGCAGGACTTTTTTTTGTTTTGTTTTGAAGGAGAGGAACCTTTAAATATGCAGCAGGAAACAAAAGGTTCACTGTGAGGTAAGATTTTCCCTTATGGAGAATCCTTACATGTACATGGGAAGGAGACACATCAATCCTTACATTAAGCCATGCAATTAATGTAATCCAAGATGAAGCCGTTTTTTCCATGTCTCCTCTTTCACAATAAGAGACCCTCCCCTCGCACATTCTCAATGGCCTTTGAGGAGGTATAAAAGCCTTGACGGCTGCAGTTCAAGTGCAATACTACATTGTGTACTGTACACCGCCGGACCCTGTCTCTGACCTCCAGCCATGCTGACCAGGTAAATCTCAACATCTTTAATAATGCAAACGCATCCAGATCAGTTATTATATTTTCACAGCTTTTGTTTCCATTTTAATACTACTATAACACAATGTGTAGGATAATTGTTTATGTATGTCAACTCTGGAAAGACACGAAGCTTAAATTCTCTAAAATGATACCACCAAATTTAATTATATAATTATTAATATTTATATAATTATAAATAATATTATATTTGAATATTTAAACTCATAATTGCCTAAAAGCGTAACTGAATTTTATATTTAATTAATTAAAAAAAAAACATCTTAGAGCTGTTTTTAATCATTACATTTGATTTAATATTACTATATAGTAATATTATTCATATTGTTTTTTTTTATTTAAAAAAAAGCATAAATCCAGAGTCACGATATTCTGTCAGTGGTTTTTAACGCTGTCATCTGTGATCACTGCATTCTTTTGACTTCACTTGCATGAATGCATTACACTCTTTAAATCAAACTCTTTCACTACAAATATGATTGATGCAAAACAGCTCCTTACCTGCTTGCTTATAAGGCAAATTTATTGTGTCAGGAAATGATTTGATTGTTTATTTTGTCACAGGAACATTCTCATCCTCTGCTCATTGGCGCTGGTATTGGTTAAAGCGGACCTTGAAGCAGGTAAATATTTTTATCCTGTAATATAAGAGAGTTAAAAAGAAGTCACAAATAATATCTAAAATATAACTTTATCATTATAGAGAATAATTACTTCAATTCAGAGTTGGGAATATCTTTAAATCCTCATCAATTGTGTGGTGTGTGTGTGTGTGTGTGTGTGTGTGTGTACCTGTTTTTCTATTCTGGTGGGGACTTAAACCTGAATACATACAGACTCATGGGGACTCGTGTCACGGTGGGGACCTAAATTATATCTGACTTCTGTGATAAATGTGACTAAGACATGAATTATTTAAAAACTAAAACATGCAATTGACTGAACATTTCCTGTTTGCTTCCTTTCGTTGCTGAAGGAGGGTCCCAAGCCATGTTTGCTACAGGTAAATCTCAAATCAATAACATTAAAACATGTTGCAGAATGCGAATCAACCTTCAACTAAGAATCCCTCCAATAATCCACAGATCCGGATTCAACCTCAGATGAAGCTCCAACTGGTGAGTTTTCACACACTTTCTCTGTTTTGGAGTCACAGTCTGTAGTATGTCAGCCGGATGGACTCTCACTGCAGTGTTTTGTGTTTTCATTGACAGAAAGCATGAACCTGGTCTCACCCGACCTGCCCAATGGTGAGTGATCACTGCTTCACATAGTAGGAGAGGGGCTGATGAAAGATGGATTCTTATGAACTTCGCACATGGAAGGATTTGATTTGTGCAGCAGACCGGCTGACGTTCCTGATAAACAAGAGAGAATGACTGTTAGTAGAAACAATGTGTGATGGGTTAAGGCACGTTTGACAAGTTGCCCTTAGGGATAAACTGAAGATTTCAACCCATTGCCTAATAGAGCTTTTGATGCTTGACTCACAGAATGATACAAGAACATCAGAGCTGTTTTCATGATAAACTTCTTATTCTATGGTTCTTTAGGAACCCATCTGTGCTTAAAGAACCCAGAAACCAAAACACTGACCACCAGATGAATCTATAATGAAACACCAAGATCTTGTTTAATATCCAAATATAACAAGTCATATAACGAGCAAGCTGCTGGATTTTCGAAGGCAATTCAAGTTAGACTTTACAAGTCTGCCATCTAGTGGAGTCTAAACCCACATACACATTTAAAATATGACCTTTTTTCTATTCTGATGTACCCAGAGAAAATATGATTGCTCTGAGAGTTCAGTTTGCTCTCTGTTTAATCTCAGTACTGTCTAAGAGAAATACTTAGATATTAAAGAGATCTCATTTGTGATTTATCTTTCTTATGACTACAGATGAGCTTCTGTATTACAACGGAGCAACTTCAGGTATAAGAAAGAATTCTGTACATTTAAAAAAAATAATAATAATAATAAAAAAGTATTGATTCACCACATCTTTGACTAAGCATTTAAACAATGAAAAATAATTATGAGCCTTATTTTAATGTCAAATTGTCTAATGCAGATGCAAGCAGCACCAGTGCTGAGGCAGGAAATAGTGGTGAGTATCAAATCTATTCATAGAAAATATAAAAGGTATTTATATCTCATATCATAGCTCAATAATTTAGTCTAAATCATAGAAAACAGTTCAAAAATTGATGTTTCATTTCTTTTCAGCACCTCAAGTAAATGACGTGGCCAAAACTGGTAATTTTTTTATTATATGACGTTTGATCAAAACGTTCCCTGAAATATAATTGCTGCAAGAACGTCCAAAATGTCCAGGTCACATTTTTAAAACGACATTTTTTAATTTAAATTAAATTCATTGTATTCTAATTTTATATCGAATAAAGAATCGATATCGAAAAAGAATTTATATCGAAAATACGTTTTCATAAAGAAAACGAGGCATTTTTTGGGGGAAAATTGAGATTGCATGACATTAATAAAACTTAAGCACATTTTCTTCAAAAATTATCATTAGTGCAACCAATCAATGGGGGAAAAATATTATTTAAAGGTAAAAGTACTTATGATGATTTAAATTATATATAATTTCAATTTTAAACTGTTGTACTGATATTAATTTGATTATATATATATATATATATATATAATTGTACAAAATGTTGTACA